GTTACAGGAAAAACACGTTATTTAATCTTATTTAAATAATCCCCAATAGTTATATCTTAACAAAGATGTACACTTTGGATTTCTGAAGTACAGTTCTGTCCACGTGCACATCTGCGGTGAGGTTTGAGGGCTGGAGCAATATTGAAAGTCTCTTCGGCCGCCTGATTCCCAGGGTATTTTCAGTGATGTGCGGGGGAATGCTGCACTCTCAGGTCAGCAGGACATTTGGAGAAGAAATCTTTGTGATGGAATTTCCAAATTTTGTAGTTATTTTAATTCCCAGAAAATAATCAGATTCTTGGGCCCCTCTCGCTGGGTATGGAAACAGACTCAGGGTTTGGGCCTGAGCCCCAGAGTCTGGGAGAGTGAGAAGGGGTGGGTCTTGGCATCCTCGTCTGTCAACATCCACTGCCTGGTGATGCATCCATGCGTGGCCTTCGTGCCATCCGTGCCCAGGACTCCGCGTCCAGCCTGGGACAGGCCCCCAGAGCACCCACACACACGCGTGACATTCCTCTCCTCCACATCTCCACACAGTTCCTGCTGACCCTAACCCACCCGTCCATCTGGGGCTCCTGAGCCCACACCCACTGCTCACCCCAGCAACCTTCCCCATGGCCGGTGGCCAGAGCGGGCCTCTGGGTGACTCTCCCGGATGCTCTCTGCCCCACACCGAGTTCCCCCAGCTGACCCTACATGTGCCGCCATCGAAACCTCAGCACCTGCTGCCTCCCACCCCAGCCCTGCACCCCACTGGCAGAGCTCCGGACTGGCCTCTAACTGCAAGGCATCCGGGGAGATTTGAGAAGTAACATCTCACTCAGGACAGAACTAAAGTCCTGCCAAGACCAGTGGCCTCAGGTGATCTGACTCCTGTGCTGCTCTGCTCTTCTAGAACTTTCTCCCTGCCCCTCCTCTGCTGGCATCCTGGTGTCTTCTAAGCATGCTGGGACTGTGTGTCCGCCATCTCCCCAAATATCAGACCAAGGGAGGACAGAGACCCGGCTTTTTCTCCCAGCCGGAGACTCAAGCTGAGTCTCCTTATGACCAGGGTCCGCGGGAGGATCACAGCTCAGAAAGCACCAAACAGTTGGTCTCCGGTTCTATAGGATAAATTACACCCCTGGGAGGATCACAGCTCAGAGAGCACCAAACAGTCGGTCTCCGGTTCTATAGGATAAATTACACCCCTGGGAGGATCACAGCTCAGACAGCACCAGTCGGTCTCCAGTTCTATAGGATAAATTACACCCCTGCAGCAGAAGAACACACTCCGCAAAGCCCTTCAGCACCTAAGCTCTGCCTATCGTCGTCGTGGCTCTGGGGAGACCCCTGTGGTTCCAGCCGCACAGGTGAGGAAGGAGCCCTCATGGAGAACACAGGCTTCAGAATGCCCAGATTCCTGGTGCTGGAGACTTTTATCACTTGACTATGATGGAAGCTGCAAAAACACATTTTCCCTGAAATATGATGCAGTGATTAAAAATAAGATTATATGACTTACATGCTAAGCAGAAAAGCAGGTTTCAATCACACGGTGATTGCACAAAAATGCAAACACATCTGTGAGAGTGGTGAGATTATACATAGTTTTTCTTTTTTCCAATTCTTTTCTTTCTCAATTTTTTGAGCTTATATTAGGTTTACATCCAAAAAATCATTTAAAAACTTCCTTGCTCGACTGATGTTTTCTCCCCTTCGCTAGAGGATGCATTTGTGCCAGAAGCAGGTGCTTTTATATATCAGGTGGATTTTGTATCCTTGTTCAGTGAGCTTGCATGATGAACGCCATCAGCACTTGGCCAAAGGAGAGGGACATGAACGGTGAGAGCTGAGGAACGGGACCTGGCCGCTCGCACGCCTGTGCTGGGACAGGCAGGGTTCCAGGCACGGCCATGGCTGTGGGCAGTTCTGCTGAACTCTGCTTGCTCTCATTGGCTCTGAGACCAAAAATTGCCTAAAATAGGTCACCTGTTTGTATCCTAAATTGTAAAAAAAAAATAATGCATGATAATGACACCTTCCTAATTCGACACGAAAACTAATTGGGACCAGGGAAGTGCTGGGGTCCCCCTCCGTGGAGTAAGCTCTTCTCTGCAGGTAGTGCTAATTAATGCATCAGCAAGCTTGGGAGATAAATATCGAAGATACAGGTGGAAACAGGCTTCCTACAACTTGAAGGCCCCAATTATTAGTGATTTATGTGTTAATTATATTGGGTTTATTTAGTCACTGAAGGAGGTTGCCTACAGACCTCTTTGATAACACCTGATTAACTAAATTTGAATTTCTGCCCATGCTTGAAAGTAATCCAGTTGCATGGTTTTTCACAATAGCAGAACTGAGTCTTTCCACTAACTTCTATTGAGTGCTGCCCCAACGCTCATCCCAAAGAGTGAGGTTTGCACTCATTTCACTGTGCAACGTGCAGGTATTCCATTCTGAAAATGGTAACACTGACATTTACGTCACATTTAGTTTTAATCTGTCTACAAACTGCATTAAACAAAAAAAGATACCAGTATATTAATAAAAAATTATTAACCTATTTGTCAATGGCTTAATGGTATAAGCCAGATGCTTAAAAAACATGAACTGTTCAGCTTCAGAAATGAAATATTCCCACAGGTTTGTTAGAATGTAATTCTAATTAGAATTAGAACAATATAAAATAAGTGTAAGGTTCTCTTGGGCACTGCCCAGTGTGTATACCTGCTTGGTGTATGTGGACATTTAGGTTTGAATTAATGAAGATGAAATACCATCAAGAATGCACTTCCTCAGCCACGGCAGCATCATTCAAGCAGCTTGTGACTTTTGGGTGGGACAGCACAGAACAGGCAACTTCATCCCAGAAGGCTCCATCAGGCATTTCAGGCTCTCATTTCCATAACCAAGTCACATTTTATTCTGATTATTAGAAAGCTTTTTCTTAAAAACATCAGGTAAGTGTGGGATGTCCAACTTCTTTACCTTCTTATACTATTCTCAATTTCTCTTTGGAGGCAGATGAGATGTCTCCATCTCTCATTCATGAATAGAAACATGTAATCACCTGTAGAACCTAGTGACTTTAAAAATGTCATTAAATGGAATTCACTAGTGCCAGAAACCTCTTTCTGTAAAAATGCAACAATAGAATATAACGGAAGGGAAGGGGAGGGGAGGGGAGGGGAGGGGAGGGGAGGGGAGGGGAGGGGAGGGAAGGGAAGGGAAGGGAGAAGAGAGAAGAGAAGAGAAGAGAAGTAATTTCCCTGAGTCATCACCCCTGGAAGGCCACAGATCACATGTAAGAGAGAGCACAGCGACAGGCTGAAATTGCAGACGTGACTGTGAGCTTTCCTGCTTCCCAGGCCCCTGTGCACTCAATGGCCCTTGAGTTCCTTCAAAGCCTTTCACTCAAGAAAGGGCCTGGGAGAGAATGAGTCTCTCTCCTGGAAACCCCAAATCCTTGTCAGTCATTTCCCAAAGGGAGCATCGACTTTATTTCCAATTTCATTCATTTTGCTCCAGGGAATTACAAATTAGCGAAGTGTTTACTACATTAAAACCTCAGAGGCACAATTAAGGGACATAACCTCCTCATTCTGACTATACTCTCCCATCACAGAATACTGGCTTCTCATCCTGCTGGCTGCCCGAAGTCAGATGTGGGGGCCCATGAAGTCTAAGAAAGCTCACTTCTCAGAGCCAGTCCAGAGGAGCCCAGATTTCCCTCAAATTAGAAGAGGCCAAATTTAATTAGACGTGAAATATGAAGAGACCTCAGACAATGTAACACGTCTCATGAAAGGAAATGTGTCCATCTTTGAAACCTAGACCAAAAAATAACAAAAAATGTGTGTGTAAAATAATAATATATGTTTATAGTTTAGTAATATATGTGTATATATATTTTAAATAACTTTAAAACTTCAGCACTTAAAATTATAAGGACAATAAATTCTTCCTTCTGTTCATGTGTGACAGAAATACTGTACATATTAAAAAGTCATTCAGAAGTTAAAAAATCAGTGTATTTAAAAATTTTTGAAACAGATTGTATAAGATGGATTATTTTACATTTGATTTGACAACAAATGATTTCCGTTTGAGAGTATGCAATACAATTCAATAGTTTCTGATGTTTGTATTAAATGTTTCATATTCTTAAAATGAAAGAATGGAATGCTAAGAAATATTTCATTAAAAATCTTCCTCATGATTTTCTTCTGAATTTAAAATGTTCCAAAATTTGACACAAAAAAACCAAAAACCTCACAAAGCCAGCTTTGGTGAGCAGTTAGAAATTTACCTTAATTGCCTGAGAGATTCGAGCTCCCTATCTCTGAGTTCAACCAAGCCACCATCCTTGAAAACGGCCTTTTAAATGGCTTAAGGCAAACAGATCAATTTGGTCAAGAAGCCGGTAAATATGGCAAATTAAAGATAAAATAAAATGTCCATAGAAGCCACCCTCTCTTTAGCAAACAGTATGCTGATTCTGCCAAAGTGTGAGGCTGCAAAGGTAAAACCATTCTCGAACTGAGCAATGAATGAGGTAAGGTAAGATGGAGAAAGCTTTTTTAATTTTTTGAGACGGAGTCTCACTCTGTCACCCAGGCTGGAGTGCAGTGGCACGATCTCGGCTCACTGCAACCTCTGTCTCCTGGGTTCCCGTGATTCTTGTGCCTCAGCCTCTTGAGTAGCTAGAAAACTTTTAAACGAGACTTGAATTATTTTCTTAACTGACTGTAGATTGGGCAGTCAGGTCTACACGCAGCCTGTTTCGTTCAGTTTTCAGAAGAATGAATGATGAAATATAAATGAAAAATGAAAAAGTTTCATTTTGTGGGGATTTTTGTACATGGTTGTTGTCAATTGTAACAGGTATTGAATGTCAGGTGTGTGCTTGCTACCAGTACTGTCCCACTTCACAGGGAAGGAAACTGAGGCACAGGGAGATTGACAGTGCTCCCCAGTGACTGGAAAACCCATGCTCTGTGTTTTCTTTTGCACAGAGAACCTCTCCAGGAAAAGCAGAGCATCTTGGCCACTGGCCTCACATCCTGCCACCTCTTGTCCCCTTGTATTACCTAAGTCTGAGATTTTACTCAGTGAATTTCAATATTTTCTTCATCAAAACCATGACAATGGCGAGGCATAAACAGACCTACACTACGTTTCAAATATAGCTGGAGAACTTTAGGAACGTTTCATCAAGCCGTTTAAAAAGGTAAACACTAAAGATTCTCGATGTGGTTGTTGTTTGGTTTTTGGCTGGCCTGTGCATCAGTACAGTTAGTTAAAATAAGTAAGATTCAGCCCAAACCCCAATGCCTGGGTCCCTCCCTTAATAATCCAGGTCTCAGGCTTACTGTGAGAGGAGGAGGCGGCAGGAAGAAAGATTTGCAGCAGGGACCCTCCCCACTTATAGCCCCTTCCACTGGGCCAGGGAGGCTCCTGCTGCTGGGCTCGCCCTGACGGTGGACTTGAGAAATGGAAGGGAAGACCGAGGCGCTTCTGGCTCATCCTCCCTCAACAAGAAACTCCGTGAACCAAGACCTGAGTGGTTTATTGTTGGTTTGCCGGTTCATTTGTGTGTGTGTGTGTGTGCGCGCGCCTGGAGTCATTCTGAAACATTCTGGTTTTAGAAGTTTTACTTATTATGCTTAATTGTGTTTCCTATATTTTAATTTCTCCTACTCATTATGATAAAATACAACTCCAATAGGCTGTATTTTGTAGGATATTTTCTGTAAATGCCATAGTGCAAACTTTATAAACCATTTACAGATGTGAAAATATAAATGGTAGAACTGGGTCCCTGGAGGAGCAAGTTCAAAATGCGTTTAGCTGATTGTGAGGAGTGGGTGTGTCAGCGTTCCACCAGGGACGTGGCACAGTGCCAGGGAGGTGGCCACCGCCGGTGGGTCCCAGCTCAGCTCCCTGTGCGGGTCACAGGGCAACTGCACGAGGCCAAGTGTGGAAACAAAAATAAATTCTGTATGTGTGTGTGTGCATGTGGAGGGCTGTAGTCATCACTAAATGTAAACCCTTAATTCTCAATCACAAAGCAGCACACTGAAGGTGGTGTTATTAATGACCGAGGAGCAGGCATGAAGCGTGGGAAAGCTTCTGAGTCAGGCTTTGTCCTGATTTTGAGGAGCAAGCGTGAAGCGTGGGAAAGCTTCTGAGTCGGGCTCTGTCCTTGCAGTTGATAATCTGTGCATCTCCACTGAGCAGTCCAACCACCCGTTCCTCAGTTCTCACATCCGTGAAATGGGTCTAAGCACCTCTTCCTCCTTTTCCTCACGAAGACGACAGTCTGTGCAGAAGCATTTTGTCCACTGTCGGGCACCCCACAAGCCTGTAACGTTTCAGCACAAGCAGGGACCACCACAGATCTGGGGAAGGCTCTGGGGCAGGCACGCAATCCCCGTGGCCTGGGCGGCGCTTGCTGGAGTCCCAGCAGACCCTGTGCGCCGGAGGGACCCGCACCTGGGAAACCCCAGGCCATCGCTTCTTCTCCCCAAGACATTCCCGCTCACGCACATCGCTGGTCACGTGCACCCAGGTGCTCTCGGGTGAGCCAAGTCAGCTGCTGAATGGTTCAATCTTTTATAACAGAAAGAAGGGTGCTACAAGAGCAATCTTTGAAGTGGGAGATCACACAGCTCCCCTCCCAATGTGGAGGCTGAAATCACACAACTTTCTGTCCTAAAAGGCTGAATTTACACAGAGGTCAGCTCATTCCCCTGATAAGGAAATACGGCCTCCTGTTAAAGAAACTAGACCCCAGCCGAGGGCAGTTGTAATTCACAGAGTTCTGTGGATTGACTATTGTAAACTGTGAAAGCAGAAGATTACCGAAATGAGGATTATTCCTAAGAACTTGGTGAGCAGTCAAGGCGGACGACCCTCCTGCACCCTAACAATGGAAGCTGTGGGGTGAGCAAAGCTCACATCTCTCTCCAGGAGAGCCGGGCAAATAATCTCCCTGTGCCTGTTATGTTTACAGCAGAGAATCCAAGCCCCAGGATGGGCTAGAAACAAGTAGCCTTAGCAAAAAGCAACATCTTCACCTACGTTCAAAATGCTAATTCTTTGACTTATGACGTATTTTAAAATGCATGTAACCAGGTTAAAAAGATGTGTTAGATGTGGCTAAAATTCCTGCATGCTCAAGCTGAAAAATGCCTAGGATACGAGCTTAGAGATTACAGAGTGTATGCGACCGTCGCGAAGGCCGAGGGACCAAAAGTACAACCCGCTCACTGCCGTGATGACTCAGGCCAAGCTCAGACTCCAGGAAAACCAACAAGTAGCCCAAGGTTCTTTTTCCTACAAGGAGTTACACTAATGTTGGGACTCATGGTATTATAAGATAAAGGCAAGGATAGTAAAGAGGAATCTTAATTTGGCCCACCAAAGCATAAATGGAAGCCAATTTGTGGGCTCCTCTTCAGAGCCAATTCCCTGTGATCGAAATCAGTTTGTATTTGGCTTACTTTGGTTATACCTACACCATGCCCATGTCTACAATGGCACACACATCTGGAAGTAGAAAAAAATAATTCCTGGCTGGGAGAATACGGTTCCTTAAGATAATGAAAAAGAAAAAGAAAAGGCTGACCAGCTGTGATAGGTTTTGCAAGCGCTCTTTCCTGCTGTTTGTTTCAGCAAATCCTAGCAAATGAAATGTCACAAGAAGAAACTTTACAGGGAATCAGAGCTCATGATGGGCAGAGTTCTCATCCCCCAAAACTCTAATCTGCACAAATGTATTCTTTTTTGTTTTTTGGCCTGTGATCTCAGTGAATGTCACAGCCAGGCAGGGCTCACGGCGACCCTGGGAGGTCGGCTCCTAGAAAGGGCATACAAGGTGACGGTGAATTCCACCTTGAAGCATCGATGCGCAAAAGTCTGCCAGGCACAGAGGCTTTCGGAACTGGGCGTCCCTCCTCTGTCTGCCTCCCCGAAGTGTCCCTTTTACCCTGGGGCTTCCTTCCTGACTTCTGAGCCTCTGAACTATGTCTTCAACACCAGATGGGCTACGGAGCAAAGAAAGCAACAGTCCCAGAGTTGGAGTAAGATTCAGGTGCACATTAAATTTTAATCCAGTTTCAGTTTACATGTTACACGTAATTGGACATGAGGTTATGAATTTTCTTTTCGAAACGTCCCACGTTTGCTGCTCTGGGTGAGAACCAGGCAAAGTGTTATCTCAGGAAGTTTCAGAGCTTAGAGGATCCAAGAGTGAGAGTTTATCTGGAAAATTTGTTTTGTTCATGATCAAGAATGTCCTGTTAAAGGCCAAATATCACAATTCAGCATTGGAAGTGACAAGAAGAAAATTTCCAGAAAGTTCCATTTGTTAGCTGACATGTAGAGAAGAGTTTCGGAGGTAATTGGGGCCCACTTTCTACCATGTGTTTATGAATGATTAGAGGTTGTGGCAGGATACAGTGAATGGTTTAACGTCATGCTGTTAATCAGGGACGCTGCTGCTGCAGGACAAATTGACCAAACCCTTGAAAATAGACACAAAGAATATTAAAAAGGACTCATGCGCGAATTATTCTAAAGAAAGTTGTTGCAAGTCATGAGGGGCTCAGTCCATGTTCCTGGGCTTGAGAAACCCACCCAACAGATCTTGCTGACCCAGATCCAACAGATAACAGATAAAGGGTGTCACCAATTACAAGGTTAAAGAAAAATTATAACCTATGGTTATACCATCAAGTAAAATTTGGTCATTGAAACATCAGTGTTTTTACAGAAGATGCTTGATTGAAATTCTTAGTTTTGAAGATCCATTCATAGAAAAGGACCATTTAAGAAAATCAGTCAAGTTCAGATTTCCCAGAAAGGCTCTATTAGAATAAGATAAGTTTAGACACGAGTGTGGCTTTTCGAGCAACCACAATTAGGAAAAGGCCATCCACTTCCTGGAAGATACAGTCTCCCCTCCAAGACAAGGCAGGAAGGAGGGGCTGCCCATGCCCACCCTGCCCTGGGAGGCACGAAGAGCTAACCGGCTCCCTCGGAAAATGCTAAAGGTGGGGACCATCACACCGTCTTGTAAGATGAAGTAAGAGAAGAAGAAAGTGCTGCTGCTGGAGAAACAGCAAGCTGGCCCGGAATTTCAAATCAACAGAAGCCGCCAAGCCCAACGTGAAGGGATGCAAGCCAAAGAGAACGAATCCCTGCGGTCTCTGACCAGTTAGAGGCAACACTAGAAGCAACTTTTACAGAGGCTGTTTTCCTGTCTACAGCTGGCCTGTTGGAACTGGAGATGTGCCAATCTTTTGCAAAGTGTCCCTCATCAAGAAATTCAAAGGAATGTTGCCATGTTCGGATGTATTGGCCAAGTTCCCAGGGGAGTTAGTCACGTTTTGACCATGAGGGAAATGTGGTTTCCAGCCATACAAAAGATGCCTGAACAAAGTGGGTTGAACTGCTCTTGCTAATGGTGTCGTTTTGAGATCCTAAAGCTACTTTGTCCATGAGGAACTGTTTTGGATGAGGCTACAGACTTTACAGCCGTTAGGTAAGAGGAAGCCCTTCAGGCGTTTACATTCCATGAAGAAAGTTCCAAGGGTCTTGTAGCGAAACAGCTAGTTCAGGAAGTCACTGAACATAAGCAGGTGATCTATGGCCCTAGGGCCTTGGACAGGGATCCTGTAAAAGACGACATGGGTGTGAAACAGAAGCCTACACTTCGCAGTAGTCCTGGTCTATCGTCAGGGGTCTGGGAGGTGGGGAGGGATGATTGGGAAAGAGATCAAATGTGGGTTGAAAAGCAGCATTCTCTTTGCGTGGATAACAATGCTTTTTCCAAACAAAAGGAAAACCAAGCAATTTGACATAATGATATGGCATGTCCAATAATTTAAAGCGATTATCTGGGGACTCTTGGCTCTTATCGCACTGTGAGTATCTCCCAGGTCTCGCCCTCTTTCCCTGTGTGCACCTGCACCTATGGTCTCCCTGGAGTGCGGAGGCTTTGCGACTCCCTCCGTGACTTCTACCCGCTTCTTCCGAACCTGCCTGGCCCTGCATCTAGAGATGTCTGGGCGAAGGAGGGAAATCACAGTGTGGCAGTATAAATGTAGGTGTTTCACCCTTTTGCCAGATTTATGCTTAAAAATGACAGGCATAGAGAAGAGGGAGGTAAAACTCTAGAATGAGGTGTGTCTGGTTGAATTCCACGACTCTCCGGATCCCTGAACCGCGAGCTGACACTGTCCTAAAGAGTATTCATGACTAAGACCACGGTGTATTTAAGAAAATAGCTATTATGATGGTAGATTTTGTCATGAGTGCTACTTAAGTATCCATATTGTAAATACTCCTATGAATTTATTTTTAAAATTAAATGTTGATTATTTAGTCATTTTATAAAAATTTGAGTAACTGTAAAATTTCCCTTCCATATGCATGCATATCTGGAGAAAACACTCATGCTTTAGGAAATTCCAGATAGGAAGGATATGACATGAACAAGCTGGAGGTATGTCAGGGGAAAAAGGCAGAATGGGTTGTGTGGAAAAGTGGCTGAAATTCCGAGGACTCAATCACGTTTCTATATCAAGGCACTGGGGTGCACAGGCCATGTTTTTTAACAGACATTTTTCTTTGCAAATGACACATCATTTTTTTTTGTGAACTACTGAGTGCATGGATTTTTAAAAGAGAATTATTGTCATTAAATCTTACTTGAGTTCTTGGGAGCTGGTGGCCAGCATACTTCGAATGCTTTTGTCCGCCAGGGGGCAGCCAGATAGACTGTAAGACAGGCCGGGACAGGCAGGTCAGTCAACCGCGAAGCGCATAACTCCCGAACAAACACAACATAAAAACCAAAATTAAAGAGTTTAATGCAGAAAAGCAATGGGCAAGTGCTGTATATTGAATTTTTTTTGCATAATTAATTCTGAATTGGTTCGAATATAAATTTAAGAAAATATTTCTGTTAATAAGAAATTGTTTAAAAAGTAAGATAAAACATTTGTGCTCTTTGGCTTAAATGCTTAAGAAGAATTTTACAAATTTAGGTTGTTTATTTGAAGATAAAAGACATTATACAACACATAAATTAGCATGCTTTTGAAGGTCAACATATAGCACTTAAAGGGTTGACACAGAATTCAACATTTTTACTTTGACAGCATTGTTGAGGTAAGCTGAAAACAATAAATTGAAAAGACAGAATCCACCATGAGAAAAATGAAGTCACACCTTCTGTGTGAGGCGTAATTACCAGTCACATGACCACTCCCATCACACCCTGGAGTTGGACATCTGCCACCAAACAAAAACAAAAACAGCCAAAATAGTAAGTATGTTTTAAAAAAAAAAAAACTTTTAAAAAAGTTTCATTGTTTCCAGTTTAGCTGCAATGTCTGCAAGGGGATTTAAGCACCCTGAAGAAAAGCGGCAAAATGCACGGGTTAAATGAAAATGACGCCCCCGTCCAACAGAGCGTCATTGGGAACAGGCAAATGCACGGTGAGCTGCTCACTCTACTGACCCGGCAATCGGAAACATTTATATGCTGCGAATGTCGCATGCTCAAACGGCAAGGCATATACAGATCCGGTTTTTAAAAATCAGCCAAAGAATGGGAAGATTAAGAAGATTCATAATTTCACCTCACAGCATGCTTACGTTATTAAATCCTTTTTGCTCTCCTTGCACTGAGGGTACTTGGGTTTGGGACTTGGGATGGTCACCTCCCCGGGATACCGTCTTTCTTCTAGAGCCTCCTGGAATGGGTCCAAGTCTTCTGGCTGTGGGCAAAACACAGCTTCAGAGCCACACGGATGATCACACGGCACACAGACTGAGGGAGGCGGTTCGTGGCTCTGCGGTGGCCTCTAATCTTACACCTCTTTCTGCTGTACCTTTAAGATCCTCTTTGTCCTGATAATGCCCCTTCTGAAAATGCATATTGAGCTTTTCTTCCACTGCTCTAAACTAAAATGATGGTCACCTGTCAGTGGTCAGGGCCCTTATTCAACATTCACCTGGCCGTGCTCCCCACACGGACACACACACGGTCCGGCAGCCAGAGACTACGTTTAACTTGGTCTTCCTCATTCAGCATTCAGCACACACCTGTGGGTGGGTTGCTTTATCCAACACTTGCCTGCAAGATTCAACACTGGAACTACAGTGTGTTAGGGCTAAGCTTCCCCCACCATTGGTCCGGATTTTGCAAGCGCGTGCTTTAAGATTCGGGGTAATGGAGACCAATTTAGAGGAATGTAACTGTAAATTTCCTTTTCAGTTGTGTGTTCACCTGCAGTAACGTGGATGTTTCTACAGGTGGCGATGCTCAGCAGACACATTTCCTAAGTCTAGCTACATGGGAAGGTTTGTCTTCCATGATGATCCAGGACGAAAACACTTCTGTCATTTTATGAGGGCTTACTTTCAACTAAAATAAATTTGGAGATTCAACCACCATGCCTTATTTGGTAGTAATGATTCAACACTGCAGGAGAAAAAATACTTAGAAATTTAGCTTGCCACTCTGATTTGGTTCTTTTTCACAATGCCTGGATACTGAAATCAATTTGAAGAACGCAGATAACAGGCTTATAAGCAGGTGCCCTCTCTGCCGATTTCTACATGGGGCTAATGTTTCTTTTTTTTTTTTTTTTCTATTTCCTTGTTTCTGTAAGACACTAGTGCTTTGATGGTGGTCTCTCCATTGTACTAAAAATAAATTTCATTTTTCAGTGAATAAAGAGGATGTCATAGTTCTCAGAATCAAAGACTTTTAAGTCAGTACATAAAGAAAACATTTTTCTTTATTTCTTTTCAAAGCCTAAAGGGCATTATATCTATTTTAATAACCTGAATTTGAACACTGTAGCTACTTCAAAAATATGTTCTTGACATAGATGTTTTAGTAATACAGTCATAAACAAAGATTTAGGTGATGGTACTAGAATAATTTATTCAAGGCTAGAGTAAACTCTTTTGAACACTTTAGGTTTCTTAGAGAAGGGACACTGTCCTTAGTTTTGAAGAGCTAGTTAATTAACAGCACACAGTTAACCATTTAAGTATCTAAGACTCCTATTAAAATTCTCTACCAGCAAGGAAAATCCTGTATTGTTCCAACAGGACACCCAGAAAAATGAAATCACATGCTATTTATATGTTTTCTTAAAGTAATCATTTGTAACAAAACATATTTGTTAGAAAATAAACTTTATCATTTACAAGAGTCAATAGTTAGTTTCACTCTAATCAGTGTTAGTCACAAATCTCTTCTGGGTCAACAAAAACTGTTTTCTAAGTCTCCTCAGTTAAAGGTCATATTTAAAGAGAAAATGTATTTTCTCATAAGGTCTGTGCAAATGGCACTTCCTTCAGCTGGGGCCCCATTTTAAAGTCTGGCAGTCAACACAGGCTCAATGAAAAGGACATACAGTAATGTCTTTGGACTCGTCCTCGTCCATCCTCCGGGGTTTCATCTTGGTGTAGTCTACAGGCAAGTCCCAGCAGTCGCCCTCGCCCAGCTGGAAACACCGGTTGTTCATCACTGCCTGCTGCTGGGGGGACATGGGCTCCAGGGGGGTCAGGATGGGGCAGCAGCTGTCCCGCGGCCTCTGCTTGTTCATGCTGAGGTCCAGGGTCCCGTTCTCATCCACCTCCATGTCAGGGTTCTGTTGGTAAAAAGACATGGTGACTGTGCTTGGCCTGGCACCTTGTAACACCACGGGTCCTTCCTCCCAGACTGCAGTCTTGCCATCAGCCAGGGGAGCGTTCAAACACGGAATTCCTCACTGCTGTTTCCTTGGCCTGAACTCCCAAGGTGAACAGTCCTGGTCTTTTGGTACATTCCTGCTATCCCATGCTTAGCTGCAAAATTGGTTGGAGAATCCAGGCATCGCTCCCACCCTCCCTCCCTCACTCCATTTCCCTATTTATCTACTGTCTACCCTCTCTCTCTCCTTCCTTGTTGTCCTATTATATCTCTGATTTAGAGTTTGTTCAGAATAAAATTACAAAGTGTTTAGTTTTAATTTTATTACAGTTACAAACACCTAAGAGATAAAAATTTTGCGTGTATGCATGTGTGTATATACATGTATGTGCATGTATGTGTGTGCATAAACACACATATATATCAGCTTAAAAATTCTCTTTTAGTTTTATTGATGCTAATAGTTCAAGAATTAGGGAGTAGGATAACAAAAGAATTAGAAGGGTGAAGGAAGGAAAGAGAAGAAACTAAAATTTACCTTGTAATATGATTTTTTTTTGAGGGACAGAGTCGTGCTCTGTTACCCAGGCTGGAGTGCAGTGGCACGACCTGGGCTCACTGCAACCTTCACCTCCCAGGTTCAAGCAATTCTCCTGTCTCAGTTTCCCAAGTAGCTGGGACTACAGGTTTGCGCCACCATGCCCAGTTAATTTTTGTATTTTTTAGTAGAGGTGGGGTTTCACTATATGTTGGCCAGGCTGGTCTCAAACTCGTGACCTCAAGTGATCCGGCCACCTCAGCCTACCAAAGTGCTGGGATTACAGGTGTGAGCCACTGTGCCTGGCTGTAATAAGAACTTTTATAACGAAGATAATTTTTCATTTTAAGAAAGGAGATCTGCAGTTGCAGCTAAAAATACCTTTACTACAGTGATTACCATCTGATCTCCTCTAAATTTCAGCAAACCCCTGCAATTTAGTCTACTAGCTTAAACAACAACAATAAAGAGGTACAAGGTGAGGCTTTTTGGATTTTTTTAAAGGATGCTTTGAAATGCATCAAGAATTCTGCAGCACTTGCCTCTCAGGGAGAAAGGGAGAAGAAGGGACATGTGGACAGAAAGTTAAAAAAAAAAAAAAATCAAAATACCCCTAACAATCCTGCATGTTTTTCCCCAAAGAGTGACACTCTTTTGAGCAAAATTTGATTTCAGAGCTGGTCTGAAAGTTGCTGCCTCCTCAAAGGTCTAGCAGCTCTCTCCTCTCAATGCAACAGTAGAAGTAGAAGGAAGATGCTTGGAATGAGACCACCATCCCTGGAGCTGTTACCTTGATAAATTATACAGTATCATTCTGCCTGAACTCTCTTTGTCAAAGTGCACTCTGATTTGAAGTTCTGATATTAATTTAAGCTTCAGAATGTTGGATTTATTCTCTCAGTCTTAGTTTAATTTTAAGAAAGTGCAACAAAATTTGGAAAGGGTCTCTGCTTTTTTCTTTTTGTGGTTGCCACAGAATCTCTTCCATGCTAACCTTGCATTTTTTGCAACCTTGGTCACCACGAAAACTGCAGACCCCTGGCGCTTCTCCAATATTTAGGACTAAATATACTGATAGAAGAAAAAACATTTGCAAAACGTAAGATTACTGACCTTTCTTCATTCATACCAACTACAAGTATTTACAAGAACCACTGTCAGTGCTGTGCACTCAGGTGCATGGCCAGGCAGCGCGACACAGTGGAGAGCCCTTTGTTTATCGGGAGAGGAGGTGAACGTGTCCGCTGCTCAGCGTCTCTGAGAACACAGACCGCTCCCTGCACCGCCCGGTTCTCCCCCGCCTAGTGGCCTCGGCGAGGCGGCTCTGCCAGGTCTGTGCTGCATCCTAAAGGCTCTCTCTCCCGCCCGGCAGAAGCATTGGTTCAACTGATAAGAAAATTAAAAATAGACACTCTTCCTATGCCTTTCATAGCACTATAGCACCCATGCAAATGTGGAACTAACGAGTGCTGGCTGTAAATACACGGCTGATCCCTTGGTGTGAAGCCTGATTTTTACTTCCTTTGTTTCCCTGCTACCCAGGAATCCACGGGCAGATGCCTGCATTTCACTTGGCAACGGTGCTAGCAGAGCTTCCTGTCAAAGTTCAAGGGAGGTCCACGCTTCGTTTTGCATCCTCTGTGTGGTCACTGGAGACCACAGGAGGACCACGTGGTGTTCTTTGTTTACAGAAATGCTTCTGGATCCTGGAGAGAAGGATCCGTTGATGCACATTAATTGACAAGATCTGACCCTTGCCTCTGATGGAGAAAATGGATGCGCTTTGGACAATGGTGCTGTTCAGGCTGCTTTAAGGGAAGCGCACTGATTGTTCACAGTGGCAGGAATGGTTTAGATCAGGGCGTTCGCACCATAAAGCTGCCTGAAAGCGCCGCGTGTCTCGGCGCCTGGGCCCGCGGCCCGCCTCCCCCACCCGCCCGGGGCCCCACCTGCCCAGGCGCGTGTACCCGCGTGGCGCACAGGTCCTGCGGCTTGGTGCTCAGGTTCTGCGGCATCTCGCGGCAGCGCGTGGACAGGTTGAGGATGGCGGTGGCCGCCATGTGGGCCGCCTCCATGTCGTGCGTGTAGTCGAAGCTGCTCTTGCTGCAGGTGCTGCTGGCGCTGCTGCCCCCGCCGCAGCTCAGGTTGCTGCTGCTGCTGGGCGCGTAGCTGCTGGTGCTGCTGCTGCTGGGGCTGGGGTCCTTGCAGTACCGCTTCGCTGGGGAGACAGGGACAGGGATGACTCAGGGCCCGGCCGCAGGGCACACGGCAGACAGCACATGGCAGGGCCTGCCCGCCCCGGCCTTAGCCACACACAGCCGCGTGGGACGGCCCTCAGGGTGCCGGGGCTTTGGCGTAAAGAAAACAAACAACAGGCAAACGAAAACAAAACCAAACCCTCTGGCTCCTCTCCTTTTTTGCTACTTTTTCCCCTTTTTCTTATTTTTTTTTGCCCTGGAGGAGCATTCATCACCTGTTGGAAAGGCTTCACCTCGCACCCAGCACAGGCAGTTACCTGGTCCCTCGAAAGACAGACACAGGGCTGGCTAGCTTTCAGGAACCACAGGGTGCAGGCAAGTGACCGGGAATTCCAGCCCAGTCAAACCCCTGTGGAGGCCCTAAGAGTGAGTGGGGCTCCTCCCCCGCACATGAGGCTCACCAGCACTTTTGGTGACCCGACCTGGATCCAGTCTCTCATCTGTCAAGAGGTGGGCGGTTCCTTTGAGCCAGAGGGGCTGTGGCAGCCTCCTGGGGCCCGGGTCCTCTGTGCAGGTGACCAGGATTCAAGGGGACCTGGGGGCCACCTGCTGGGCCTGTGGGGACCACGTGCTTTGGGAAGTGGATTTCTGGCTGGGCCTGCAGACCAGACAGGGTGAGTCCAACATTCTTTTTTTCTAGAATGCTGATACCGGCCATGGGAGTGAAAGGGGGAAATGCACGTAGAGAATACGCTCAGGATAAATGTCGGAACACCTGAGTGGCCACTCGGTGGCGGGCAGACATGTGGGGCACGTGTGCAGCTGCCCCTTTCATAGCCACGGCCTCTCTGTTCCCTGCACTGACCCTCACTGACACGATTCCCACTGCCCGGTAATCCTTTCTGAGCCACCACACTCACTAACAGCCAAATCGGCACTGCGGGGCAAGGGTTATTTGTTAGAGCTGTTAAAAATCTCCTTTAGTACATGAAAATGTTTCAGTCCAGGATTTATCTGATGGGTCCTTCTTTATTAATTGTTATCCCTGCCAGTTAATGTCACAGGACATCATTTGTGCATGGCCAGACATTTCACTTGGAATCCAGCAGAGTGAAGAGTTACTCAGGGGTGGACCTGGTCTCTCTCATGTCCTAAATCCCTCTGTCAGTGAGTCCCTCCCTTTAGGTAGCAACTTCTTCCCCAAGACATTCCTGCCTGCTTCCCTGGGGGCAGCGTGAGTGCAGCTGGGAGGACTTGGTGATAGGCTAGAGACATTCCAGCCCAGGTTCTCCTGGTGCTTAGGGCTGCCCTACTCCTAATGGGCAAAGCTCCAGGCTGCCTAATTCCAATGGAAACTATGGTTTTATCTGCTGCTACGAGGAAAGGGAGACCTCGCAGGCAGTCATGGCTCCTGCAGTGTGTTCCACGCCATCAGCAGCAGCTCTGAACCTGGAACCAGGCTTCCCCAGGGACTCCTCCCCACAGAGGAAGAACAGAACAAAGCTAAGTGAAGCAAAAAGCTTTCTCACATTGCTGATACGGTCATTATGAGCTAATGCTAAGAAACTGCCCTGGATTCGGATACAAAGGAAAAAAAGAAGCGGTCATCATTGATAAGGTTTGGTTGGGGACTGAAGGCTCTCAGGACATGGGGAAGAGGTGTGTTATTGGTGATTCTGTAACGCACAGGCCCCTGCAGAGGAAGCACTAAGGACAGTACCCAGGGCGGGAGTTGGCCACACTGTCTTCGTCTCAGCCTCTACCAAAAGCTACAGAAAATTCCCCAAGCAAGTGACCGCTTTACACTCAGATTCCCGTACATGAACCAGAGGCTCAAATGCACACCCACAAAACCCATGAAATACAACAGTCATCTGTTGATATTATGACTGTGTTTTGCTAATCTGAATGAGCAAAGCCACCCAGAGTGGTCCCACGGCTGGTGGGGCACAGCTGCCCCTGAGAAGCACATCTGAGTGTCCATCAGTGTGCCCCTCCCTTCTCTCTCCTTTGGGAACGCCCCTCCTCTAGAGAGCCCAGCAGCACAGGGCGGGGTGGGTAGTGGCTGCCGGTCTGAGCAAGGCCCACGCCAGGGCTTTTGAGAGAGACCACCATGGGGCTGCAAGGGAGTCAACCAGAGGCAGACAGCAGAGGTTGTGAGGACACCCCCACTGGCCCTGTGCAGTGAGCACCCTGAGCCACCCTGAGCAACCATCAGTTTGCAGTTTGTGATACTCTGGATATGAACTAAAGGTTGTGATTTTACATCATTTACAATTTTGTTAAGAAATAGTAGAACAATTGTAGGAGAAATGAAATAATAATATGGGGTTTTGTTTTTACTGGTGAGGGCTAGCCACTGGTTTAGGAAAAAAAAATCATTGCCCACATAAATTAAAAAAATAATAATAATACTTTTGTTTTGAAATGAGGGAATTTCAATTCCTAAAAAAATTAAAGGAATAACACAAGTCAATGCAACAAACAACTGCAGCTGGCCTAGGTTGGCTGGCAACCTTCCCCTCAACTTTGGTGAGGGCGATGCTCAGGAGTGTGGGCGCAGAGGTGAGGCAGGAGCTTCCGTTCACGCCAGACAGAGACTTCTTGTCACAAGCTCCTCTCACCGTGACTCTCGCTACACTGTGTTCACAGCATCCTCCAACAGAATTGCATCTAGACCTCCACCACCCTGTAAGATGCTACCACATGCCCACCTCACAGATGTGGAGACTGAGGCTGCCCAATGTCCACAAAGAGCCTCGACTGCCATCAACAATGTGTTTGTCTGGGAGAGCTCAGCATCTTATCAATTAGAAAATGCTACCCCAGCATCTCTATATACCACTAACATCCAGGCTGATCGTCAATCAAGCAGATAATCCCATTCACAGTAGCCACAAAGAAAAGGAAATACCTAGGAACACAGCTCACCAAGGAGATGAATGATCTCCACAAGGAGAACTATAAAACGCTACTGAAAGGCATCAGTGATGACACAAACGGAGAAATGTTCCATGTTCATGGATTGGAAGAATCAATATTGTTAAAATTGTCATACTGCCCAAAGCAATCTACAGATTCAATTCTATTCCTATCAAACTACCAATGTAATTCTTTACAGAGTTAGAAAAAAAATGACTCTAAAATTTCTACGGAATCAAAAAGCAGTCCAAATAGCCAAAGCAATCCTAAGCAAAATGAACAAAGCCAGAGGTTACACTCTACCTGACTTCAAAGTACACTATAAGGCTACAGTAACCAAAATAGCTTGGTACTGGTGTAAAAACAGACACACAGACCAGTGGAACACAATAGAAAACTCAGAAATACAGCCACACACCTACAACCATCTAATCTTTGACAAGGCCAATGCGAGCAAGCAACGGGGAAATGGTACTGGGATAACGGCCGAGCCATTCACAGAAGAATGAAACTAGACCCATACCTTTTGCCATATACAAAAATGAATGTAAGATGGATTAAAGATGTAAATGTAAGATGTCAAACTATAAAAATTTAAGAAGAAAACCTAGGAAATACCCTTTTCAACACTGACCTTGGCAAATATTTTTTTGGCTAGGTCTCCAAAAGCAATTGCAACAAAAACAAAAATAGACAAGCGGGACCTAATTAAAGTAAAGACCTTCTGCACAGCAAAAGAAACCATCAATGGAGCAGACAGACAACCTACAGAATAGGAGAAGATATTCACAAACTATGTCAGATGACAAAGTCCTAATATCTGACATCTATAAGGAACAACTACATCCACGAGCAAACCACAAAAACCCCATTAAAAATGGGTAAAGAACATGAACAGACACTTCTCAAAAGAAGACATATAAGTGGCCAACAATCATGTGACAAAATGCTCAACGTCACTAATCACCAGAGAACTGCAAATCAAAACCACAGTGAGACAGTTTCTCACACCCGTCTGAATGGCTACTATTAAAAAGCCAAAAACAGCAGATGCTGGAGAGGCTGTGGAGAAAAGGGAACACTTATATATTCTTGGTGGAAACGCAAATTAGTTCAGCCACTGGATAGTAGCTTGAAGGTTTCTCAAGGCACATTAAATACAGCTACCATTAGACCCAACAGTCCTGTTACTGAGTATTTACCCAAATGAAAATAGATCGTTGTACCAGAAAGACACATGCACTCGTATGCTCATCACCATGCTGTTCACAGTAGCAGAGACACAGAATCAACTAGGCGCCCATCAGTGGTGGATTAGATAAAGAAAATGTGGTACACTGTGTAATACTATGCAGCCATAAAAAGAATAAAATCATGTCATTTGCAGTAACATGGATGGTGCTGGAGGCCACAAACCTGAATGAATTAATGCAGGGACAGAAAACTTTGTACCACACGTTCTCACTTGTGAGTGGGAGCTAAACATTGAGCACACAGGGACACAAACATGGGAACAATTGACACTGTGGACACTAGAGAGGGGCGTGGGTTGGAGAACCACCTCTTGGGTACTGTGTTCACCACCTGGGTGCAGTATGCCGTGTAATGAACATGCACAGGTACCTGCTGTGTCTAAAATAAAAGTTGAAACAAGAAAGAAAGACGCTACCTCTATGTGACATTTTACTTCAAAGAATTTTTAACTAAAACGACTCTCTGCATTTCTTCCTCTCATCTTACTTGAGTCACCTTAAATTATCCTGAAGTTATAAAATGTAGATGTGACGATGCGTTGACTTTTCCAGATATTTATTTCATAAGATGCTACAGCTAGATGATGCCAAGTGGACAGTACCAAATTTTAGTCAGTGACTGCTTTAGTCTTTTGATGCACCTGTCGACTCACTACACTCAAATGGGCAGCGAAGACAGCATCTACTTTCACATGCATCTTTTATTGAATATAAAAAAATCATTTGAAAGTTTTAATTGAAACAAAAATAAAAATAAGAGTGCCTACAGTTAAAATTGCTCAGGAAAGGAAGGTCTTTGGTCCTAATAATTATCCCTATTTGTAAAATGTCAGCATAGCCCTTCA